CTGCCCGCACTGTCCCCTGTGTCTTCCTCGGTTTCCCCCTTGACTCGTCTGACTGGCTTTTCTACCACTCGTCGTCTCACCGCTTCCTCCACTCTCGTGACGTCCCCTTTGACGAGTCTGTCTCCTTCTACCGCCGCTTCCCTCACCGAGGTCTCCCGGTTGCCCCACCCCTGTTCCTTGCTCCCTCTCCCCCGGTAGCCCTTGCTCCTCTCTCGCCTCGTCCTGCCCCGTCTAATGTCTCTCACGTCACTCCCCTCCCGTCGGTTGTCCCCGTTGAGGAGTCTGCTGACTCTGGTGGTACCCCCGGCCCGTCCTTGCCGCGTCCCCCTCCCCCGGTATCTCCGCCCCCACTGTCGCAGTCGCCGACTCTACCACAGCCGCCGCCGCCGTCGCCGCCACTGCCGCTGCCGCGCTTGGCCTCTGGGGGTGCTGGCGTTGAGGAGGGTGTTCGTCCTGCGGCCCCTGGGGGTGCCGCTGGTGTTGGAGGGGGTTTTCGCTCTGGGGGTGCTGGTTCTGGGGGTGCTGCTGTTGAGTGTTCTGCCGACGGTTGTCCTGCCAGTCCGAGGGTTCCGGCCCAGCAGTCGCAGCACCGCAGCAGCCGTCACCGCCGGTCTCCGCTCTCCGCCTGCTCGGCTTTCCCTCCCCTGACTGCTGGCCGGTGTCTCCCCCACCGCCTCCTGACTTTCCTGTTTACGGTTCTGTGTTCCCGCCGCCGGACTCGTCTCCGACCCGTCCTCCTCCTCGTTCCCCTCCTGTGTCCCCTCCGCTGTCTCCTTACCCTACACCTCCGTCCCACGTTTGGTCTCGCCGTCCCTTCCGTGCTCGTCCCGTCTCTCCTGTCCTGCGCTCCCACCCTATGTTGCTCCGTTCCCACTCGTCTCCTCCTCCCCTCCTCCCGTCCCCTCCTCCCTCGTCGCTTGCTGTTGCACCTCCTCCGTTGTTTGACTACCTCCGCGCCGCTCGTCCCCTTGTCCCTCGTGTTCTTGCCTCTCTTGTTACCGACCCTTCTGTTCCTGTCTCGCGCCTTGACGCGCTTGTCGCTGCTGTCGCTGACTTCGCCACTACCCGCTGCCTTGACTACGCCACCGCTCTGGTCTCTGACCCTGCCCGTCCTCCGTCCATCGGGGGTGCTCCTGCCCTTGGCAGTGACATCCTAGAGGACAAGCAGTACGAGCTTGCTTTCCTTTCCGAAGCCGCTCCCCATCTCTGCTCCATGCTGTTAGTCTCTGAGGGTGACCCAGACGCCTTCGACATCCCGACCCCTCGCACTTACGCTGAGGCTACCTCGGGACCTTGGGCCTCTCAGTGGATAGCTGCCATGGAGCAGGAGATGGCATCTTGGAGGTCCACCGGCACTTACGTCGACGCAGTTCCCCCGCCTGGGGTGAACGTAGTCGATGGTCGGGGGCTCTTCAAGGTGAAGCGCCCCCTTGGAGAGCCGCCTGTCTTCAAGGCGCGCTACATGGCCAGAGGCTTCAGTCAGCGCGAGGGGGTTGACTTCTTCCAGACCTTCGCCCCGACCCTAAAGATGACCACTCTTCGGGCACTACTACACGTACCAACACAGTGCGACTACGAGCTTCACTCCCTCGACTTCTCTACTGCCTTTCTTCAGGGCAGCCTACACGAGCAGGTCTACCTGCACCGACCACAGGGCTTCACTGGTCCCTTCCCCCTTGGGACCCAGTGGCTTCTCAGGCGCCCGGTCTACGGCCTGCGTCAGGCTCCCCGCGAGTGGCACGACACGCTGCGGGCCACGTTAGCAGACCTGCATTTCTTTCCGTCCTCTGCTGACCCCTCGCTGTTTGTGCGTTCCGACCAGACTCCGTTCTACATCCTTGTCTAAGTAGACGACCTGGTCTTCAGTACTACTGACAGGGATGCACTGGCCTCTGTGAAGGCCGAGCTGCTGAAGAGACACACCTGCACTGACCTTGGAGAGCTGTGTCGCTATCTTGGCCTGCAGATCTCTAGGGACAAAGCAGCACGCACCATCACTCTGACACAATCACACTTGGTGCGTCAGGTCCTTCAGAGGTTCGGTCTTCAGTTCCCCTCCGCACAGCCCACACCTCTACCTGTAGACCATGGGCTCTCCACTCCGGTTCCTGAGGAGCCAGTAGAGCCCAGTGGCCCCTACGCAGAGCTGGTGGGTTGCCTCATGTACCTGATGACTTGCACTCGCCCAGATCTCGCACACCCTCTTAGCATCCTGGCTCGCTTTGTGGCTACAAGCAGACACCGACCTCAGCACAAGTCTGCCGCTAAGAGGGTTTTGCGTTATCTTGCAAGTACATCGGGCATGGGGTTAGTGCTAGGAGGACGCAGGCCAGTGGTCCTCACTGGGCACACAGACGCTTCTTGGGCAGACGACTCAGAGACTCTCAGGTCGTCTCAGGGCTACTGTTTTAGTCTTGGTCCGTGTGCTATCTCTTGGAGATCCACTCGCTCGTCGTCTGTTGCTCAGTCCAGCTGTGAGGCTGAGATCTACACCGGTGCCATGGCGGCACAGGAGCTCCGCTGGCTTACCTTCTTGCTCACAGACTTAGGTGAGCGGCCTAGCTCTGCCCCGGTCCTGTACACTGACAACAGGGTCATGATCCTCCTATGTCAGGAGCCTCGGCTTGAGGGCAGAGCGAAGCATATCCAGCTGCGGTACCTCCTCCTGCGCGAGCTACAGCAGCATCGCCAGGCCCGCGTAGTTCACTTGGCCTCCGGTGCCAACACTGCTGATATCTTTACTAAGGCGCTTGTGCCTAAAGATCATCAGCAGCACTGTGTCCAGCTTGGTCTTGTTCCTGTCACTTCTCACTTGTTAGGACCCTGATTGTGTACTCTCTACTATTTATATCTGTCTGACTGGCCTTGTGGCCTTACCTCCAGTGGCTGGACTAGTAGTGGCGCCCTGGCTTGCTTTAGTCTTGTTTGTACTCTTGCTGACTGGTCTCCGGACCCCTGCCTCAGTGGTTGGACTAGTAGTGCCACCCTGAGCTGTGTACTTTTTGCTTAGCTCCATCCCTTATCTAGCCTAGAGGGTGTGTCAACTTATACATATGTTCTATGTAGAAGTTATAGGCTAGACTAGGTGTCTGCTCCTAGTGAGTACAACACGACAGGTATATGTTCTAGGTTTCTCTTCCTAGTAAAAAATTCCCGTATTCTAACAGTTGGGCAACTTGTGTGATTGCTTTGTTTTGCTTGTCCGTGCACTTGTGTGTTTGTGGGCCTCTGATGGTTGGTTTTAGTGTTTCGATGTTCACGGATTGTTTGTTGTGTGTGTTGAACACTTAGTAATTACACCGGTTTTGAAATCCTAGGTGTCGCCAAGGAACACTGTGTTAGAATAGCTCTAGGCTAGGATACTAGGCAGGAACAAGGCCGCCATGAATGTGGCGGCGGGGTTTAGCTAGGAGCTGGACGAGAGTGTCGAGAGAGTAGAGAATTAGGAAGAGAGGGGAGTACAAGGAGGGGTTTGTACCCCCTACAGAAAGGTTCAGTAACAACCTACCAAGCCTATATTAAATTATAACTTATATAATTTGAACACACCCCCTAGGCTTGGTAGTGTCAAGCCCTCTCACACCCCCACACCCACACCCACACCCACACCCACACCCCCTAGCCCAGCACCCCCATTCCCAGCAGGAGCCGCAACGACTCCGGAAGTGGGCAGCTCCCACGGCCCTTGGGACGGCAATGGCGGCAGCAGCGACAGTGACGACAGCAGCGGCGGCGGCGGCGCCCGGCCCGCGGCAACAGCGGCGGCAGCGGCGGCATGAACGTCAGAGGCTGGTGCAGCGGCCCCCGCCCTCTCGGCGGCATGTCCAGTCACCTTGGCGGTGGGGAGGGCCCGCATGAGGCAGTCGTTGGCTGCAGCAAGGAAGGGGGGGGAAGCAGGGGAAGGAGGGGGGAGGGGGGAGGGGGGGAGAGGGGCGCGGGGCGTAGTCCAGACTCACGCCGGCGGCTGCAGGGCGGGCGGCAGGTCCGGCGGCACCATTGACGATGCGCGGCCGGCTGTCGCCCGATGACGCCGCCACGGCAGCAAACAGACGCCGCCACAGCGCGACGTCGATGCCGCGGCGGCGAGGCGGAGGTGCGACTGTAGCTCGACTAAGCCGCCGCGGCATCTCAGAGAAGTCGCCACGGAGGCACGGAAAGGCAAGGCCGCCACGGCGGCAGGAAAACGAAAGGCCGCCATCAGCGGCACGGTACGAAGTGAAACGTAAGATAAGGACGAGGCGGAAGCGTGGAAGGCAGGACCGGAAACGGCCTGCTCTGTTACCATGTTAGAATAGCTCTAGGCTAGGATACTAGGCATGAACAAGGCCGCCATGAATGTGGCGGCGGGGTTTAGCTAGGAGCTGGACGAGAGTGTCGAGAGAGTAGAGAATTAGGAAGAGAGGGGAGTACAAGGAGGGGTTTGTACCCCCTACAGAAAGGTTCAGTAACAACCTACCAAGCCTATATTAAATTATAACTTATATAATTTGAACACACTGACTGTCGCAGCATCGGACAAGGCACCTTTTTATGCACAGAACATGCCAGACAAGTCACTCGCCCCCATGTTTACTCGTTAGTCCATTTTACCCCTACCGTACGAGCCCTATTCGACTAAGTCGAGATTCGCGAGTCGCAGATTTGGAGCATAGAGCATACCCGCTGTACATTCATCGGGCGCGGTTCCGAGTGATCATTGTGCTACAAAAATGATCGTGCAAGATTTTCCTTTTGATTCGCACCCAATCAGTGGCAGCTATTGACTCTCAACATACTTGCGATTTGGCAGAACCCTTTATCTTGTGATCTGAATGTCGAAATGGTCTCTAGAAAGAGTCCTAAGATTTGCCTATTCCAGACCCCATTATCTCTTTCATTGTGTACTGTCTTTCTGCCAGCTTCGCACCTTTTTGTTTTCGGTTCGGAACAAGATCTGCACGGTCCGAACCCAAACCCTAAAATGTCCTGATGGTGCGGGAAATCGAAACACAAACTGAACGAGAACGGAACCCAACTGTTGGGTCTGCACATCCTCCATCTCCACTCCCCTAATCCGCCATAGCTATCTCCAATGGAGCTCCACACCTCAATCGTCTGCCGTGGCACTTCCACTTGCCCTAAGTCGCATGGTCACTCGCCGTACCCTTAAAGTTTTTATATTGAAGTATGATCTAGTCTGTACCTGGTTTCGAGACTCTAATTGGGATCGGAGTCATCAGATATTAAAATCAAGAACCGAGCCTCAAATTCTTATTACGAGGACCATCATTTACGACGATGGCGACGCGATCGGCCAGCAATGCTCCCACGGATCCCAACGATCCGACCTCCCCAACTGCCACGTCATCGTACTCCACAGCTTCGAAGGACATCTATAGGCGACACGGCCTCACCAGCCCGCCTTCAGAGCCCAAGGTCCCTGCTTCCTTCCCTCCCGGAACCTCCCTCTCTCCCTCCCTCCTCCCAAATTCTCCCAACCTCCTCCCTTCCGAGCGTCTAAGATCTCCGCAGCAAACGAGCGTCGCAACTAGGACCGGAAGCCGGCTTCAGAGCCAGTATCGCCCGAGGCAGCCGTCAGGTTCGGCACAGCCGGACCTGTCTTTCCGAGCCTTGGTGGCTCGGCACCAGTACCTGCTGACGACAATGGCGATCTTAGCCGTTCTGTGTACGATCTACCTGTACTTTGCCATTTCCATGGACGACGGAGAGAGCTCCAAATGCGGCGGACTGAGAGGGAAAGCCCTGGCGGATTGCAGGTTGATGCTTCAGGTGCATCGGAAAACGGCTAAGGTGGATTCCGGAGGAATTGGGAGAAGCGGGGGATTGGGGAGAGATGGTGGTGGTAAGGGTGGTGAAGTGGAGAGAGGAGATAGGGATTCAGAAGATGCTGCAGCTGATGATGATGGTGATGTTGAGGGTGAGGGTGATAGGGGAGGGGGTGGTGGAAGCAGTAGTGGAGGGAGGAAGGCGAAAGTGGTGTATCAAGTGGAGGAATGACAGCAGTGCTACAATTGCTGTAACAGTTATTGCAATATGAGGATTTGAAGCAGCAAGTTTCATGAAGCGAGAGAACGGTGGGGCTTGCGACGAAGAAGCAACAGCTGCAAGCAAACGACAGTGCCAACGAGGCTTATCCCATGGTTCTGTCACTCGCGACGCGAGTCCGAAGAGAAATGGCTAAATGATGACCTGCATTGCCAAATCCCCAGTTTTGCTAGAGACAGCAGCTAGAGATGGCTGTGTGCTTTGCTTCGCATTGCCTACTGTTGGAAATATCTCAAGGACTTAAGCGTTTCTGAAGTGTAACACTGTACTCGAGGAAGATTACAGGGGAGCACGCGAGTCAACGGAGGTTACACGAGGGGGCGGACAAAGAATGCGAAAGGACTCGAAAGGTCGCAACTGGAGGTTGCGACTGACCGTTACAACATCACGGATGGTAACCGAAGCGGCAATCGAGTCGCTGTGCGACTCGATAAACCGTTCCTGTAACTGTATTCTACAACTGCTTTCTTATCTACTATATATTGCTGTATGCTTGTTTCTTTAATCAATCACTTGTTCTCACATACTAGTACAAGGGTTCAACTGCCTCAACTTCCGCTGCACTACTCCAAGTCTAAAGTCTCTACAGCTGGGACTTAGTCTCTGCAAAAGATCCTAAGGGCTTTTCTCAGCCCAACATGGTATGAGAGCTGGTCAGAGACCAAACTCCCAGCAACTACGCTCCATCAACGACCTGCAACTCAACTTGATTCAACAACTCCATTGATTACAAGACATGGACAACAAGGGCAAGAAAGTCTCTACGGGCTCACCCAGCGCCCAAGAAACTCAACACGGCAACTCTGGTCTGCACACCTCAGGACTGCAGACAGAGACCGGGACTACTCAAGAAACAACGGGAAGAGTACCAGAGATGGTGACTCCGTCTCCCTCTTCAAGTGTGGACCCGAATCTCATGGAGAGATTCTTCAGCTTCATGTCACACTTCGATCAGCAGCAGCAGACAAGGACACCTGCGCACTCAACACAGAGCAATGGAGGGAATATGGGATTAGCGCCGATGAGCCTCGACAACTCATCCTTCGGGCGACACAACCAAGCGCCTACCTTTGCGCCTTATCATTCTTCGCCGGGGACGTTCGAATTCATGCCGCCCCGTGCCCAGCCAACAGCAGCTGCTTCACAACAAACACCGAATGAAATCTTAAGTTTACAGGCGCAGTTCTCACACGTGATCAAACTTCAGACATCCTCACCGTTCAACGGACACGACTTCTTTACCTGGAGCTTCGAGTTTGAGCTGCTGATGGAGGCCGCGCATCTTCTGGGATACTTCAACGGGTCCCTGCCATTCCCAAGCAACGGCACTGGGAAGGAACAAGAGATCTTCACGTATCAGTCGCTGCTGGCGTACACGGTACTCCTGAGAAACCTGTCACCACAAGAGCAGCAGAGCATCAGAACGTATCGGAGTTATGGAAACTCCGCGGAGCTCGCATGGCACCACCTCAAATGCCTTTACCAAGCAAACGACAGCGTGACACAAAGCAGACTCATGCAACAGCTGACAACAATACAGATGAAGACCGGGGAAAAGGCGATGCAGTATATGAGTCGCTGCCAGACCCTCCGCGACCGCCTGCTTCGGTGCGGAGGAACGATCACTGAAGAAAGCTTCGTGACACTTGTCCTCGCCGGGCTCGGGCCAGAATGGAGAACCACACGATCACTTCTTCGAGCCCACGGAAGAATTTCGGAGATGCACCTCTGCGCCGAGCTTCACGCTGAACAACAGGAGATGGATCTGTTCGAGGAAAGACAACCAAGGAAGCAACAGCAGTTAGTCTTCTACACTCAAAGAAGAAATGACAACAACTACAACCGACGCAGCAAGCAAGATCAACGTGACAACCGAGGACTCACCATCGTGCCGCCGTTCTGCCACAACTGTCAGACTTCCGGGCACTCCAAGGTCAACTGCAACCGCCCTCGCGTTTACCGTGCAGCAGACCCACAAGTCGCTTCCACTCAAGCAAGTCCTCCAAGGCGCTCTTCAACATCTGCACAACAAACACCCAACATCATCAACTGCATGGTACACATCGACAACTGCGCACCCGCTTCACCACCCACTTACGCACCAGACGAAGAGGAATTCCCGCCGCCGCGCTCGCAAGGACTTCAGGTCAACCCGACATACGCTGCAGTCGCTAACGCCGAACCCACCGGGCGGAACACCTGGTTCTTGGACAGTTGCTGCGGTCAGCACATGTGCTCCTCCGGACGCTTCGTACAACACGAGCGACGCCTCAACCGTGACGTCGTCATCACCGTCGCCAACAACGAAAACCTGAAAACAAATAGACAAGGCGTGGTTCAGTTACAATCAATGGAGACAAACGTTATTCTTCAGCTCAACAAGGTCCTCATCGTCGACAATCTGGGATACAACCTATTAAGCGTAAGCCAACTAATGGCTAAGGGGATTCACCTGGAGTGCGACTCCTTCTCCAACGAGTTCCGACTTTACCACGGGAAGGGCGGTCTCTTCATCGGTCGTGCCCTCCTGAAGTCCGGTGTCTTCGTGTTGGACTTCGTCCCCGACCGCGGAACTGCCGACAGCGACGGTATCGTATCCTTCGCCGCCTGGACTCATCCGCCAGATCTTGATCCCGACTTCGACAGCGACGGCTTCTGGCACTCCAACACCATACCTGCAGCAGAAAGAACACGAGCATTAGCAGTTATCAGACAAGAAAGACAAGTACCCGCATGTGTCCCAACAAAACCATCACCTGCAGTATCGGCAGCAGGACCCAGCCGAGTACCACCACCAGCGACACGAGGACAGCCAACCGAAGCAGACCAACTTATGCCCGCCACACGAGAAGCTTGTCGAAGTCCCGCCTCGGTCGTCGCGTTCTTCTCCAACGCCGACATCTACCACCGCTCGCCCGGTCACCGCGCTCCCGACGACATCTGGCACCAACGTCTCGGACATCCTGCAAACAGCACGATACTTCAAACAATCCAAGCAGAAGTGTTAGAACGCAACGCCCTTCTGACGACGAGCGGCCAGGAACTCCGACGACCACGCGCACGGTGTTTCACATGCCCCGAAGCAGATCTTCCTCATCAACCTTTCCCAGCCCATCACAATCCAAGCGCACCCACTTACGCTCCGATGGAAAAGGTCTACAGCGATATTCTAAACATGCCTCGAGACGACACCGAAGCCGACTTCAACTACGTCATCACGTTCATCGACGCCGCAACCAGATACGTCTGGCACTTCAATCTCAAAACGCGCGATCAAGCCTTCGAGGCATTCACCACATGGCTTCCAATCGCCGAACGAGAGTCAGGAACCAAACTCAAGAGTTTCCAGTCAGACGGTGCACTGGAATACCAGTCACAACGCTTCAGGACCTATCTCGCGGAAAGGGGAATCCGACGCCTGGTGTCTCTGCCCTATGCTCACCAGCAGCAGGGGGTAGCAGAACGCATGAACCGGACCTTGCAGACGACGATGCGAAAACTGCTTCTGGGGATGAGGCTGCCCAACGCACTGTGGCCAGACGCGATGACACATGCAGTCCACCTGCACAACCTGTTGTCCTCGTCATCGCTCCCCAACAACGCATCACCACACCTGCTGTGGACGGGAAAAAGGGGCAGCACAAAATTACTTCGAGTTTTCGGCTGCATGGTACAATACAGACCCCACACAGCTCGAGCAGGACGCTTCACTCAACGAGCTCGGTGGGGACTACACCTCGGCATCGCCAAACATTTTCACGCGTGGAAGATCCTCGACATACAAGACAAAAATACGGTGGCATCACGTGATGTTATCTTCTACGAGCGACTGACGCTGCAGCATTACCTGGACAACATTGCCAACTCAGACGACCCCACCGACGGCTTCGCGGGCCTTCGCTCCTTCGCTGACCATGCTGCCGTGGCTGACGCAGCAGAAGAAGACGTACCTGGAGCCTCGGAAGCTGCCAGGCCACTCCCATTCTGTTCCATACCTGTTCCACTCGATGAAGATAATCCCCTCGATAGCAACAACCTCGACACCTTTTACCACTTCGCCGACCAAGGTTACGCTACACCGCACCCCGTCGACACGAATATTTCGGAACGCATCGGCCCCAATTTCTTACCTGACCCCGAAGACGGTGACGAAGCAGCTTATTCGGGGAATGACAATTCCCCTCGACACACACCCACGGGACTCCAGATTCTAGGCCTCTGGGTCTCCGTCCAGCATCCGCCGCCGCCTTCTACGCGTGAGCCTTCAACCTTGTCGCAGGCTCTGGGGGGGGAACATAAGGCAAAATGGAAAGAAGCGATGGAAAAGGAGTTAAAAGCTCTGCAAGACCGAGAAACATGGAAACTGGTACCTGCAACGAGCATCAACAGGAAGAACGTTCTCTCGGGGAAATGGGTGTACCGCATCAAGACCAACTCAGACGGCTCCATCGAACGATTCAAAGCTCGATGGGTCGTACGAGGCTTCGATCAACGATACGGAACCGACTACACAGAAACCTTCGCCCCAGTCTCCCGTCACACCTCATTACGCATCCTACTCGCCGTCGCGGCCACAAAAACACTACCACTACGCCAAATCGATGTCGCGAATGCGTTCCTATACGCACCTGTGGACGCTGAGATCTTCGTCGAACAACCCCACGGATTCATCGACGACCCCACGAAAATATGCCGACTGACAAAATCCCTATACGGGATCAAGCAAGCCCCGCGGCTCTGGCAGCAGCATCTTCACAGCCGTCTCGTAAAAATCGGCTTCCTACAGCTGCCGCATGACCAAGGGATGTACCGACTGCAGAAGGGAAGAGAGTATGTTCTGCTCATCGTCTACGTCGACGACCTGCTCTACATCGGCTCAACTACCGACATCGCCACCTGGTTCGAAGGGGAGCTGAAAGAAGATTTAACTCTCACGGTGTCCGACGAAGTTACGCAGTACCTAGGACTGAACGTCGTCGAAGACGACACGGCGTTCTACCTACACGCTGGAAAGTACTCAAGCACCGTCGCGAAGAAATTCGCTCTAACACCGACTGCGGTCCCAACTCCCTACCGCTACGGGAACAACGGCAGCGCCTCTACAAAACTCCCCGCGAAACAAATCCAGGAGTATCAACAGAAGCTCGGCTGCCTACTATTCGCAGCAGTAACCTGCCGACCCGACCTATCCTATAGTGCGAGTCAGCTGGCGACACATCTGAAGCATCCGCAACAGGAAGATCTCGAAGAACTCAATCGAGCGCTACTCTACTTCGTCTCCACGCCGACGATCGGGCTTACCTACAGCAAGGCAACAACACCGTCCGTACGACTACTCGGATACGTCGACGCCGACCACGCGGGAGACAGCGAAAATCGACGGTCTAGGACGGGCTACATCTATCGACTAGAACCTATCGGAACTATCTCCTGGCAGTCGAGCAAGCAGGAGTTAATCGCACTATCCTCGGCTGAAGCAGAGTATATCGCCCTTTGTACTGCGACCAAGGAAGGACTCTACCTACGAGAGTTACTCGAAGAAGCGAAGATCGCGACCCTGCCCGCCTTCTCACTCCTCTGCGACAACCAATCTGCGATCAAAATCGCGAACAAGGACGGCTTCGCCAATCGAACCAAGCACATCGCCCTGCGGTACTTCTTCGTCAAGGATGAAATCGCGAAGGGGAGACTTCAACTCAGTTACTGCCCGACGACAGAAATGGCCGCAGATTATCTGACGAAGAAATTGGCGAAAGCAAAATTCGACTACTGCATGCTCCTAACCGGGCAAACAAACGCCACCGGATCTGAACACTCCAGCACTCCAGAAACGAAGGGGAGTGTTGGAAATATCTCAAGGACTTAAGCGTTTCTGAAGTGTAACACTGTACTCGAGGAAGATTACAGGGGAGCACGCGAGTCAACGGAGGTTACACGAGGGGGCGGACAAAGAATGCGAAAGGACTCGAAAGGTCGCAACTGGAGGTTGCGACTGACCGTTACAACATCACGGATGGTAACCGAAGCGGCAATCGAGTCGCTGTGCGACTCGATAAACCGTTCCTGTAACTGTATTCTACAACTGCTTTCTTATCTACTATATATTGCTGTATGCTTGTTTCTTTAATCAATCACTTGTTCTCACATACTAGTACAAGGGTTCAACTGCCTCAACTTCCGCTGCACTACTCCAAGTCTCAAGTCTTTACAGCTGGGACTTAGTCTCTGCAAAAGATCCTAAAGGGTTTTTTCTCAGCCCAACACCTACATTGCATCATATACCAGATTGAGTGGTTTCGTGTTTGAAGCTTCGCAGCAGGGCCTCAGAAGTCAGGCCAACCTGAAAGCCTGTATATCAGGGTGTTTTCCAGGGTCGGCCTGATTTTTCTGGTTTTGATTTTCCCATGTCCTGATTTTAAGGGGTTCCCATTTTGCTAGGCCTGTCTTATAGAATGTTTTTGTTTCGTGTACCCTGATCTATCAGCCTTAACGAATTTTCGGCCTGAAACAGAACCCCCCGCCGCCCCCCCCCCCCCTCCCCCCCCTCTCCCCGGTAGTCACTGTTGGAAATGATAAAAGGCGTTTCCGGAGTCTCGCCTGAGTATACGAAATACACGAAGCGAAGACTCCCTACTATCCACTCCCCAGGTAACCCCTGCTCCCCTCCCTCCCTATCGTGCTCCGTCTGGTGTGTCTCACGTCACTCCCCTCCCATCGGTTGTCCCGACCGAAGAGTCGGCTGACTCTGGTGGCCCCGTGGCGCAGTTCTCGCCGCCTGTTTCTCCCCCGATGTCTCTTCCTCCGCCGCCACAATCGCAGTCGCAGTCGTCGCTGCAGCAGCAGCCGCAGCTGTCGTCGCAGCCGCAGCAGCAACAGCCGCCACCGCCGCAGCAGCAGCCGTTTGTGGACTTTGGGGGTATTGGCGTTGAGGAGGGTGCTAGTCCTGGGGTTCCTGTCGTGGCTTGTCCCGGCAGCCCTGGGGGTGGCACCAGTGCTGGAGAGAGTTCTCGCTCTGGGGGTGCTCGTTCAGGGGGTGCTGGAGTGGAGTGTTCCGGTGGTAGCCGTGGTGCAGTTGGCGGTCCAGGTGTCGGCGTGGAGCAGCAACAACAGCTGTCCCCGCCGGTGTCCGTCCTTCGCCTGCTTGGCCTTCCCTCCCCTGGCCGCTCGCCTGCGCCTCCCCCGGTCCCTCCTCCACTTCCTTTCTACAGCCCTATGTTTCCTCCACCAGACTCGTCTCCGGCTCGTCTTCCCCCTCGTTCCTCTCTTGTGTCTCCTCCCCTGTCTCCTGACCAGACGCCTCCGTCTCACGTCTGGTCTCATCCTGTCTCTCCTGTTCAACGTTGTCACCCTATGTTGCTTCGTTCCCCCGCGTCTCGTCCTCCCCTCATGCCTTCGCCTCTTCTGTCGTCGCTTGTTGTCGCGCCTCCCCTTCTGTCTGACTACCTTCGTGCTGCTCGTCCACTTGTTTCTCAGGTCCTTGTCTCCCTCGAAACCGACCCGTCTGTTCCTGTCTCGAGTATTCACGCTCTTGTCGCTGTTGTCGCTGACTTCGCCTCTACTCGCTGCCTTGACTACGCCACAGCTCTGGTCTGAGACCCTGTCTGTTCTCCGTCCGTCAAGGATGCTCATGCCCTTGGCAATGACGTCCTAGTGGACAGGTAGTACGAGCTTGCTTTCCTGTTTGAGGCCGCTCCCCATCTGTGTTCTATGCTGCTAGTCCCTGAGGGTGACCCAGACGTCCTTGACATCCCGACCCCTCGCACTTAAGCTGAGACGACCTCGGGACCCTGGGCCTTTCAGTGGATAGCTGCCATGGAGTAGGAGATGGCATCTTGGAGATCCACCGGCACCTACGTCGAAGCAGTTCCCCCGCCTAGGGTGAACTTAGTCGATGGTCGGTGGCCCTTGGAGAGCCGCCTGTATTCAAGGCGTGCTACTTGGCTATAGGCTTCAGTCAGCGCGAGGGTGTTGACTTCTTTCAGACTTTCGCCCCGACCCCGAAGATGACTACTCTTCGGGCACTGCTACACGTAGCAGCACAGCGTGACTACGAGCTTAACTCCCTCGACTTGTCCACTGCTTTTCTTCAGGGCAGCATACACGAGCAGGTCTACCTCCGCCGTCCATAGGGCTTCACTGGTACCTTCTCTCCTGGGACCCAGTGGCTCCTCCGGCGCCCGGTCTACGGCCTGCGACATGCACCCCGTGAGTGGGACAACACGTTGCGTGCTACGCTAGCTAACCTGCAGTTCTTTCCGTCTTTTACAGACCCTCCGCTCTTCATTCGTGCTGGCCAGACTCCGTTCTACATCCTTGTTTACGTAGATGACCTGGTCTTTGCTGCTGGTGACAGAGACGCACTGGCCTCCGTGAAGGCCGAGTTGCCGAGAAGATACACCTGCATTGACCTAGGAGAGTTGCGCCACTACCTTGGCCCGCAGATCTCCAGGGGCAGAGCAGCGCGCACCATAACTCTCACACAGTCACACTTGGTGCGCTAGGTCCTTCAGAGGTTCGGTCTTCAGTTCTCCTCCGTACAGCCTATACCTCTGCCAGTAGACACAGGCTCTTAGCTCCTGTTCGTGAGGAGTCGGTAGAGCCCAGAGGTCCTTACGCAGAGCTGGTGGATTGCCTCATGTACCTGATGCCTTGCACTCGTCCCCATCTCGCATACCCTCTTAACATCCTGGCTTGCTTTGTAGCCTCATGCAGACACCGACCACAGCACTGGTCGGCCATTAAGAGGGTTTTGCATTATCTAGCAAGTACATCGGGCATGGGGCTAGTGCTGGGAGGACGCAGGTCAGTGGTCCATACTGGGCACATAGACGCTTCTTGGGCAGACAACACTGAGACCCTCAGGTCCTCCCCAGGCTACTGCTTTAGCCTTGGTTTGGGTGCTATCTCGTAGAGGTCCACCCGCTCGTCGTCTGTTGCCTAGTCTAGCTGTGAGGCTGAGATCTACGTCGGTGCCATGGCGGCACAGGACCTCTAGTGTCCGCTGGCTGACTTTCTTGCTCATTGACTTAGGTGAGCGGCCTAGCTCTGCCCCGGTTCTCTACGCTGACAATAGGGCCATGATCCTCTTGTGTCAAGAGCCTCGACTTGGGGGCAGAGAGAAACACATCCAGCTGTGGTAGTTCCTCCTACGTGACCTACAGCACAGTCGGCAGACGATATCTTTACTAAGGCGCTTGTGCCTGAAGTTCATCAGCGGCACTGTTTGTAGCTTGGTCTAGTTCCTGTAGCTTCTCACTTGCTACAACCTTGATTACACACTCCTCTTTATATCTACCTTTCTGACTGGCCTTGTGGCTTCGCTTCCAGTGGCCGGACTAGTAGTGCCACCCTGGTTTGCTCTTTTCTTGTTTGTACTCTTGTTGATTGGTCTTCGGACCCCTGCCTTAGAGGTTGGACTAGTAGTGCCACCATGAGCTACGTGATTCATGCTCAGCACTGCCCCTTATCTAGCCTAGGGGGTGTGTCAATTTATACATATATTTATATATAGAAGTTAAAGGCTAGATAGGTTTGTGTTCTTAAAGGGTACAACTCCAACCCTATATCTTCCTTGTTCTCACTTGTTTCTAGTTATTGTGCTATTCTAATAAAGGCTACAACAACGAGGATTACCGAGTCAACACTACTACAGTACCCCCGACGATTCACACATATTGACGACACCTGACAGAGGTTACTGTTAAAAAACTATGAGAACTAGGCTAGGAGGTAGTGAAGGCTGTTCAAATTATATTTTAATATAATTGTTAGGCTTGGTAGGTTACCGAACCTTACTGTAGAGGGTACAAACCCCTCCTTGTACTCTCTCTCTTCCTAATCTAATCCCCTTCTCTCTCGACACTCTCGTCAACTTCCTAGCTAAACCCTTGGCCGCCATTTCATGGCGGCCTCCTCTGTTTTTCCTAGTTCAGACTTTAACATGGTATCGAGAGCGGGATGCCCTTCCTGGGCCTGCTCCCCTCCGTGCTTTCCGCTGCGTTCTCGTGCGTTCGTCGCTCCTGCCGTGCCGCCGTGGCGGCCATGTCGCATGGCTGCCACGTCGAGCAGCCGTGCTGGGCTTGCCGCCCTGACGTGGCGGCTCCGCCGTTCCACCTCCCCGTCGCGCCCCTCCTGGGCCCTGCCGTGCCTCCTATCCACGTCGCGCCCCTCCTGGGCCCTGCCGTGCCTCCTATCCACGTCGCGCCCCTCCTGGGCCCTGCCGTGCCTCCTAGCCCAGTCGCGCCCCTCCTGGGCCCCGTCCCGCCTCCTCCTCCCGCCAGTAAGCGCCGCGCCTATGGCGCCGCGCTGAAGTCCTGCAGCCCCACCACAGCAGCCCCACCACCTCTCCCTCCCCTGCATCTCCTCCTGCTCCTGCCGTAGCTGCTGTCTTCGGCTCGGTCGTCGCCAGCCCGTGCCACACCGCCGAGAGCCCTCAGCCGCCGCAGTCGCCGCCTGTCCTCATCGACACAGCCGCCTTGAGCACGAGCTCCGCCGCTGTCGTCATTGAGGCCGCCCAGATGCGGCCAGCTGCCTCTCGACCGGGGGTGTCATAGCCTAGCACGAGAGGTCGATACCCGGCTGCTCACGAGAATGAGGGTGTCCGGGGTGAGGGGGTGTGTGTGTGGGTTGTGTGGGTTTGCCACTACCAAGTCTAGGGGGTGTGTTCAAATTATATTTTAATATAATTGTTAGGCTTGGTAGGTTACCGAACCTTACTGTAGAGGGTACAAACCCCTCCTTGTACTCTCTCTCTTCCTAATCTAATCCCCTTCTCTCTCGACACTCTCGTCAACTTCCTAGCTAAACCCTTGGCCGCCATTTCATGGCGGCCTCCTCTGTTTTTCCTAGTTCAGACTTTAACAAAGGCAGCCATGAATGTGGCGGCGGGGTTTAGCTAGGAGGGTAGGAAAAGTGTCGAGAGAAAAGAGAGATTGGAGTAGTAAGAGAGAGGCATACAAGGAGGGGTTTGTACCCTCTACAGAAAGGTTCA